GGGGAGTGGAGGTGGGTGGAGCTGGACTCCAGAATGGGGTCCGGAGGGCGGAGGTCGAGGAGAGGACGGGAAAGCGGCACGGGGGTGGGGGGTGGAGACTGGTGGAAAAGGGGGTGCGTCTTCGAATTAGGGGACCCTGGGAGCAGGCAAGGATGTGGTGAAGCTGGGTATGAAAGAGTAGTACTTCATTCTCCATTCTGTTTTCTACGTGGACCTGACCTAGAATGTGACCCCCATCAAAGAATGTAGGTGCCCCCGACTACCAGGGGAAGCCCTGGAGCTAGAGCTGACAACATGTGCGGGAAAGGGGGTTGGGAAGTTGCGGGGTGGGGGTTTGCTCCTCAGCCGCTCAATCTGTAGTTGGTCTGGAGCGCGCAGTCAGTCCCCGGGGACCAGGAGAAGCCGGAGCCTTTGAGTTAAAGGAGCATCTGCAAAGCCCAGGAGGCAGGGGGTCCCCGGGGGGTCCTTTACTGTCGCTTTCCCTTTATTCAAATCGAGGAGAGGGGAGTTTCGGTGTGCAGCTCTTCCCTCGAGGCCTTGAGCAGCCCCTCCCCACTCCACTTAAAGATGTGGGTGGAAAATAAGGGAGAGGAGAGTAGGCGGGAGCCCCTGGGCGGTTTTCGCCCACAGACGCTACCACTGTGGGCGCATGAGTGGGTGGAACGGCCCCAGAGCTGAACAGTTAAGGCGCTCCTCCCCTCCTTGGGAACCTGAACTACCTAGCAAACCCCAAAGGTTACTGCTAGCAAAGGGGGGGCACCTGGGGGGTTCTGCGCAGACCTCCAGGGAAGAGAGGCCTTGGGGCTAGAGAGCAAGGGTGGGTTAAAGAGGCACTAGGGGAAAAGCTGAGGGGACAGTCCACCCGGCTCGCTGAGCTCCCAGAGTGAGAAAGCCAGGGAAGGGCCACACCCCTCCCTCTCAGCCACCTGGTCAGATGCCACCAAGCTGGCCAGCCGTGGGGCCCCGTGTCCATCATGGGTAGAGCTAGGGTCCAACACACTTAAACGAGGGATGTCACATTAAGTATCCTGACCCTGCTGGGTGCTTAGGGTTGGAAGGTAAGCACTGTATATGGAGGAGGCACCCGTCCTGGTGGGTATGTTCAGGGACTCAGTGCCCAAGGTCTTTTTAGCATAAACCAGAAGGATAGAAGCTGAACATGGGGATAGGGCTTTGCCAGAGAGACAGCACTGGCTGTTGATGTTTCTGGCCAGTCTGGGGTGGCACTGTTATGTCTGTGTCCCCGAGCAGAGCAATACCTAATCATCAGTCTGTACTCAGACTTGGGCCTTGGGCAGAGAGAGCATGTAGATGAGAGGGGGGAAGAAAAGTCCAGAACGAGAAGACAATTGCTGGTGTGGGTTGTGCCCAGCAGCGAGACTTGCACTGACTGCCTCTCGCTCCTGCCCCTCCTCCGCAGGCCCAGCGCTGGGACCATGGCCCTGCCTCGGACGCTGGGGGAGCTGCAGCTGTACCGGGTACTGCAGCGCGCCAATCTCCTCTCCTACTATGAGACCTTCATCCAGCAGGGAGGGGACGATGTGCAGCAGCTGTGCGAGGCGGGCGAGGAGGAGTTCCTGGAGATCATGGCACTCGTGGGCATGGCCACCAAGCCCCTTCATGTCCGGCGCCTGCAGAAGGCACTGAGAGAGTGGGCTACCAATCCAGGGCTCTTCAGCCAACCAGTGCCTGCTGTGCCCGTTTCCAGCATCCCGCTCTTCAAGATCTCTGAGACTGCGGGCACCCGGAAAGGGAGCATAAGTAATGGGCATGGTAGCCCAGGGGAAAAGGCGGGCAGTGCCCGCAGTTTCAGTCCCAAGAGTCCCCTTGAACTTGGAGAGAAGCTATCACCACTGCCTGGGGGACCTGGGGCAGGGGACCCCCGGATCTGGCCTGGTCGGAGCACTCCAGAATCGGACGTTGGAGCGGGAGGAGAAGAGGAGGCTGGCTCGCCCCCCTTCTCCCCACCTGCTGGGGGAGGAGTCCCTGAGGGGACTGGGGCTGGAGGGCTGGCAGCAGGTGGGGCTGGGGGCGGGCCAGACCGACTGGAGCCAGAGATGGTGCGCATGGTGGTGGAGAGTGTGGAGAGGATCTTCCGGAGCTTTCCTAGGGGAGATGCTGGGGAGGTCACGTCTCTGCTGAAGCTGAATAAGAAGCTGGCACGGAGCGTGGGGCACATCTTTGAGATGGATGATAATGACAGCCAGAAAGAAGAGGAGATCCGCAAGTATAGCATCATCTATGGTCGCTTTGACTCCAAGCGGCGGGAAGGCAAGCAGCTTAGTCTGCATGAGGTGAGGACCTGGGGCCTTGAATTGCCCTCTCCCCCTCTGAGAATTCCTGCCTTCTTCACCTGTCCCCCATTGCCTCTTGACCAAGACCCCAGGCCCTGACTCACTGCCCCCAACACCTAACCCAGCTGCCACAGTGTTCCTGTCCGCAGATGAGGGGACAGCAGAGAGGGCGAAAGCCAAGCTGTCAAATCGCCCTCTCTCTAGACTCCCCCAACCCCCGCCCCAGGAGGGAGGTGGCTTTGGTGCTGACCTGTCTTCCTCTCTCAGAAAGCTCTCTGTGTAGTGTCAAAACCTAGCAAGCATACCACGGATGGGATTAATTTGTCTGATCGTGAAGGGGCATGAGGGGGGGTTTAGAAAGGCAATGGGAGTTTAAGATTCTAATTCTTTTGGTCTTTCTCACTCCACAGTTGACCATCAATGAGGCTGCTGCACAGTTCTGCATGAGAGACAATACGCTCTTACTGCGCAGGGTGGAACTCTTCTCCCTGTCTCGCCAGGTGGCCCGAGAGAGCACCTACCTGTCGTCTTTGAAGGGCTCCAGGTGAGACCCCTTTGCCCAGGTTCCTAGATTGGAATCCTGCTAAGGACCTGGAGCATATTCTCACCTCCAGATCAGGCAGCTCTGGGCCTGTTTACCACCCACTTAGGCCCTAACTTGGACAAGATCAACTTGTCTCAAGTCCGGTTCCTCTTACCATCCTTCTCAGGTCTCCCCAACCCCCCACAACAATTGAAGACTCAAGTTAGAGACTCCTGTCCAGCTGGTTTCTTTGCTCAAAAATTTTCAAGAAAAAAAAAATGCTTTTGGCCAGACTCTGCCTGGTCTATCCTGCGGCATCCCTACCTTCACTCTCTGTATTCTTGTCCATCTTCACAGGCTCCATCCTGAAGAATTAGGAGGCCCCCCACTGAAGAAGCTGAAACAAGAGGTGTGTTTTCCAGAGTATATGAGGGGAAACAAGAGCCTTTCTCAATCTCCTCCCTCACCAGGTCCTTATTTCCCCATTCTGGGCTTCCATAGGTTGGAGAACAGAGTCACCCTGAAATCCAGCAGCCTCCTCCAGGCCCTGAGTCTTACGCACCCCCGTACCGTCCCAGTCTGGAGGAAGACAGTGCCAGCCTCTCTGGGGAGAGTCTAGACGGACACTTGCAGGGTGAGTGTGCATCTGAACACTTCTCTTTTGGAGGGTAGCGGGTGGAGGGAGTGAGCCAGGAGGCAGCTGCCTGGAACAAGGTTGGGAGGCCTGGCTGGATGGGGGCAAAAGGACCTGTGGGTCTGGCTGTGCGGTTGAGGGTGGGGGTAATGTTGGCTGTAGCCCCTTGCCTGACCCGTGCCCATGCCCACAGCTGTGGGGTCGTGCCCAAGGCTGACGCCGCCCCCTGCTGACCTGCCTTTGGCATTGCCAGCCCATGGGCTATGGAGCCGCCACATCCTGCAGCAGACACTGATGGACGAGGGGCTGCGGCTCGCGCGCCTCGT